TCGTATCAAAGCAGCGATCAAATGATTCGGCAATGTTTGAGTTACCGAAATTAAATCTTTATTTAAGTGCTTCAAGCAAAATGATACTCAGACAATCTTGGTTGGGTCGCTTAGTGAACAAACAGAAAATCATTTTAAGCAAATTAAATTCAGTCTCGCTGCAAAAATGCACAGTGCAAGCATCTGAAATATCTCATCTGTTGTTCTCTTATCCACACGTCTTATGTACGTTTTTATTAGTGGAGATTAAATTTAATCTCGATTCAATATACTCTTCAGCTTTTTCTAATCTTAGAACTAGAAAAAGATAAAGAGTTAGTTAAATCAATATCAAAGTTAAACTACCATTAATGAAAACGAGCATTAGATCCGGTTTTTCTGGTTAACTTAATCTGATGATAACGTAAAAATTATGTTTCCTAGCTACAGTTAATCAACTGACGGTTTTGTAATAAGTAGATAACTTTTAAAGTAACCACAATAAAATTGCCAGTATAGTGATTAATCATAGCTTAAAGAGACACAATATTGTTACATAATCGTTATAGGTTTAATGAGGTTAAGTTTAAATCGTAAGTTTTATTCAGATAATAAAAAATTGAGTCATCAATAAATATACAGAAGATTAAATAGTAAAAAACTCGTGTTTATTATCATTTTTACTAATATTTAATATTAAATATGGAACTACGTTCAATAAAATGAGCAAGTTATGTTTAAACATAAATCGCGTTAAAAGAAAGCTATTTTAGATTGCATTTTTTTTTTCATCGCAAAGTAACATTTCTTTCCTTAACGATCAGCATTAACTTTCAGGATCAACGATAACCTTCCGATCGCTACTTCTTTTATTTCGAAGCACAAAACGCGAACGCGAAGACAGTAAAGCTTTACGAGCGCGCGTAACGAAAGAACTCATTTCTGGAAGAAAAAATTTGCAGAAGTAAAAAAAAAGGCGAAAGAATATTAATGCAATGTCGAAGCGATTATCGTGCTTCTAGCCGGCTTATAACGTTAGCGAGAAAGAAAGAAAAAAGAGCGAAGTCGGACATGAGCTAAAACGAGTCACTTCGCTCTATCGACGTTGAAATGGCTGTTCTTTCATGGCGCAAAGAAACGCACTAATCGCCGACGGAGATTCCATTCGGCTAACATTCGAGCAACTCATTGTCATTAATTTGAATATCTGGGAAGTTCGTTTATGAAGGCCGTGGATCATCTGAAAAGAAATTCTTTATAAGAAATTTTAACACAACGCGGGTTAGCTCTAATCTCGGTTTATTATACGTACATGCTCCTACTTCTCTGTTATCATAAACGTAAAAAAAAGAAAACCTTTTAATCCTAAGTCTGTAAGATGTTACTTTCATTGTTCAAGTCTAGAATGTGGTTATATTAATTTAGTTATTACTCATGCAAAAAGTGCGATCAGAGATTTGGTTTTAATCCTAAATTAGAAGCAATATATTTCATTTTTTTATTCCTGCACTAGAACTTTCTTTCTTGCTTTTGCCAAATGTCAAACCTATTTCATTTTAAGTTTCAAAAATATATACTAGTTCAAGTACAGAAAACGTACCTATAAATAAACAACATAAAATTTAAAAGCAACAATTTAACAAGACGATTAAACAGTTCTAAACATAAAACGTATTTGGGACGTTAATTAATTAATGTGTGAGAATATTACTATATGCTAAGATATTAATTTCAATTTTGATTCAGTTTAATAACAGTTAAAATTACTTCGAAAGATCCAAGTTTATTAATCAAAAACTGTAATTCAAATTACATAACTTAATTATTAAAATATGTATTTTTAATATATAATATAATACAACCCAAAAGTTATAAGCGGTAAATTGCCATTCGATTGACCTCGTTTTATGAACAACTTATTCGTGTGAAGATTTAGCTCAGTGATTGAGAACAATCGAGGTTTATATGTCGATCAAAGAAACGCGTCGCGAAGTCTTACGACAGAAAAGAAACCCGGTCGCTTCAAAGGAAGACTCCAACGTGAGAAAGAAGCCTCCTGTCCTTCTCCCAATTATCCAACCGCAATTTGATCTTCTTCACCATCAATGCGAGATGTTGCACTTAATAAAAATCATTAGATACGCCCATTAATTACGCAATCGCGAAGCAATTGAAAGTAAAACACGTCAGCTGAAATTAAAAAAAAAGTATAAGCTTCCTTATTCCAAGATTATAATACAATCTTAAGAACAGTCTTTTTAGTAACAAATAAATTTCAAAAATGTGATATCATTCTTTCATGCAAGAATCACATAAAAGAAATTCGCGTCAATCGAAATTCTAAAAAAGAATTATATCCTTCCGTTTCTTAAAATAGTAATACAAAAATTTTAAAAGCAGTCTGTTAGTAGCAAATAATTTCGGAAACATGCATATCAATCTTTCATGCGAGACACATGAAAGGAATTTATGTCAAACGGAATTCTAAAAAAGAAATATATGCTTCCATTTCTCAAGGTAATAATACAATAATTTTTAGAATAACACAAGAATTTTAAGAACATCTTTTGGTAAATAACTTCATATGCACATCAATTTTTCATGCGAGGCACGTGGTAACCGTTAATTAATTTTCCGATAGGTCAGCGCGCCTCGCGTTTCCTTTTCTCGTTCCGGATTAAAACTCCTCCGTTTTTTCCAGTATACGCGGCAGTTCATCAAGCGAACTAACGAAGCTCGAGGTAGGCGGAATTTCGCAGAACGTCGTCATCGACCGTACCTCTTCTCTCGACCAAATTCTCAAATTCATAAATTCCGAAATTATCGAGGAAATTCGAAGCGATTTGAGAATGCGTCTAACAGATATTGCCTCTCCCGACCCGTCACCGCTTTGTCGTAGATAATAGTCGATACCGGAAGCCGCTTTCCCGACTTGCTTTTAGCTCACGTATGTCACCCGAGTGTTAGAAGAGGGAGAAAAAGAAGAGTACGGATCCGACAGAGAGAAATTGCGGTACGCCAGGCGTCTGGTCGTCGAATGCGAATCCGCATCGCGGCCAGGACGCAGGGTGGTTGCAGGGTGGTTGCAGCTAGGATCGGGTAGAAGATGAATTACACCGCGGGAGGATGCATGAGACGCACGGACGACGGATATAGCGCGGCGGACACCGAAGGAGCGAAAAAGCATGCGAAACGAACGGAGAAGAGGGATGACCGATTTCGCCGGTCGCTTCGATCGACGTGAAATAAATTTAAGGCCAATTCGCTGACCATCGATTCCGATGCGACGAGCATATGCGCGAAAAATATGCTGCAGCAGCATGCGGCTGCCACGAACGAATTGGCGTGCACGCGACACATATTGATTTGATAGATGTTATCGAAGGCTGTATTTTTTCACCGCAGAAGAAATGTGTTCTCAAGTAAACGGAAGTAAGTAAATAAAAGCAGTAAGTAAAAGCCGTAGTAATACTTCTGTATCCGTAGTAATTAATTGTAATTTATGTTAATTATCTGTCTATTATCGAAGACATTCATAACGATCAGAGTCTTAAATTAAGCCGATACTTTGCAGCTCTCCGATTATCGTGACGTGATTTCAACATTCAATTATCCTGTCAATTAAAAACAAATTAGACGTCGTGGAAAATATTATTTTATGCGAAACTCTTCGCTCTCTCCATCTTTCGCTTTCTCACAGATCAAATATCTGTATTTTTCGACGTTTTAAAGGCAACTTTGGAATTAATTCGTAGCGTTTTACAAGTGATGGGAAGTACTTTCATTAATGTATTTTTTAATGCTCATGTGAAATAAATAACATTCTTTCATTAAAAAACGCTACGAATTAATTCCAACACCTAATATATATATATATATAGAGCCCATTTAATCTCACTAATAAAAATTCTATTGCAGCCATGTGGAAAGTAATAACTGTCAATGATACGTGCGTAAAAGGATGACGAGCAGCAGAAGAGGCGTAGAAGGAAATGGGAACTGAATCGATTCGAAGTAGCCGTGGGATTTATTACGTTCTCCTATTCCGCACTTCCAGAACAATCAGCGGACACGCCATAAAGGAGGCCGTTGCGACGAACTTAATTCAAGGATAATTGATCAAGGAGCAGCGAGGATCGAGCGGGGAGAGGGAGAGGGGGGAGAGACCGAATTTTCGATTTCAATTAAGGCGTGAATATCTTATATCTAATTAATTAAGGCGGCCTTGACAGTCGAACATACATTGCCCAGAATCGCTAGGATCGTTCTTCCAGCGATCGTAAGTTTTGCCGACAGTTAGTTTGACCAAAGTCTAAAACTTAACTCTTAGTACACGATCTTCGAGTCCTTTATTACACGCTGGATCATTCGTGTCTGAATTAATTTTCATTATTAATTTTCACTTTTACAAGTACATAAAAAATTATTAAGTATTCTTATAGATATTTTTAACATCTTTAAAAAGTATTTGTAAGATTATCTATTAGCCCTCCATTGTAAAATTTTTGTTTATAAACCCATTGTTTACAATTTAGGTCTTCAGCATAAATTTTTCGAGAAATTTTTATATTATCCCGGAGTGTATAAAAATGTGAAAAATTCTTACAATGAGTTTTTATTATCATAGAAGTCAGATTGTATTTTACTTATTTTTTTACCAAATTGGAAAGAGTCTGGTTGCATTAATCGGAATTCTAATGATTAAAAATAGATTAAAATTTGCTTATTAAATTGCTCTATTTAATTCTAATCGAGATAATCAGAATTCTGATTGATAAGATCAGACTCTTCTGATTCAACCATTTTCAATCCAAAACTTTTTTCTTTTTTTTTTAAGAATTTATAATAAAAAAATTTATTGTGCTTTTAAAATCCAACATCGCCGACAGGGATTAAAAAAATATTTTAAAGGAAAACTACTATACTAGTATATACTAGTAACAGAAATGCACAGACAACACGAATGACCCAATTGTGCGTAGTTTAAATTGAGATTTAACAAAAGTTAGATTTTGACTCACCGGTGACCGGAGCCTCGATGTCTATCATAGTCTTCTCCGAGCGTAGAAGGGCGGCTCCATCGTTGATTATACGAAGAGCCGCAGCCTCGTCGATCCTACCTTCGAGGATAAAGTGTTGCTTGAGGACTTCCGGCCGCGGCGAACCTGTTCGTTCGTCGAAGACTTCTGCCACTGTCATTTTGTGCGACGGTGGAAACGGGACATCTGTTGACAAAACGAATGATTTACGGTGCAAAAAGTGTACGTAAAAACATATAAATATATAAAATATTTTGAAGCTATAATAATAATTTTTTTTTTAAATTATTAAATACACAGAGTGTCAGTAATCGAAAAATATTTTAGAGTACTTTTGTAAAGTACTTTTCTTCGCCGAGTAAGCCTTTGCATAAGAGCAGCAGATTATCTCCTGATCTTGCACGACAATGACATTAATTACAGTTGAGCCGCCCGCTGTAATCCCAAGTGACAATTAAATGTTCCTATTTACGAGATATGAGCGGCGCTACAAAGCGTTTCATAGAATAAATCAGCGTATATACACACGACGATTGTACCTAAATATTGATCAAACGACTTTATGCTCGAAACGAAGCGCTACATTCCCCACCTCGTAAAAATTAATGAGTATGTACATGAAGCTAAGACACATAATCTTGTTTTTCCTTTATGTTTCGTACCCACGCGGGTGTCCATGATTTACGACTTCGAGTCTTCTCGTGCTCGCTTTTAAATCGCGGTTGGCGTTCAAGAATTACGTAGCGGACCGCACATTTTCGTTTTCTCGCTGCATGATAGTGTAAAATATACTCTGGTGCATGCTCCATTTGCTTCAATTTGCATTCGCATTTTTGCGATGTTGCGGAAAAGCATGAGCGAAAGAAAGTTTTGAGATTTAGCGAGCGAGATGCGATAAAAATGTGCGTTTAATTTTCGAATAATTATACAAGATGTTTGCGTAACGCCAACGTTTACTACTCATTTACGACGTTCAAGACGATTACGTAACGTAAAATCATTAATCGCGCCTATCGCGCATACATAATGCGCGATTTATCTTTACTTAAGTGCTGTCGGGTAGACGAGGTAGCAGCTGAGAAAACAATAGATAGTGAAAAAAACCGAATTCCTTTCCGTTCATCGTGGACTGCCTTGCGGCGTGTAACGAGTTCAAAAGCAATTATAATACTTCTCGAGAAAGCTTTAATACTTTCGAGCAAAATACTTCGAGTAACGTCTTTAGTGTAATCCAGAATTTTTCAACCGGAGTACCGCAAAGGCTCTCGAACTGCGGTGTGACAATTTTAAAGAAGGCAAAGACAAGGGAAAATTTAGAAATAAGTAAAAAAAAAAGCGAATAAGGTGCGAAGTAAAAAATATTTTAAAAAATTGTGAAAATTATACTGCATTTACTTTTATTATAATCAAAGCGATATTGCAATAAAATCACTTTTAAAGCGATAAAGTTAAAAACTTACAATTTTACTTTTTATTTTTTTAATATTGGCAGTATCTGATAAAAGATTTATGTTGAGCGTTGAAGCGTGTATACCTTGATATACTTTGACGTACATTGATAAATTGAATGATATACTTTGATAAATTTGGTTCGTTATTTAATGTGCCGGAATTGAAATGGGTTGAAAAACGCTGATATAACCAATTACTAACGTCGACTATAAATTACCATTTCACCTCATCTTTTCTTTCTCTCTTCCTTTTGGCTGTTATTTTGAAAATATCTTGCCTTATCTATGTCACATGTTAAAACAACTATGTCAGCATAAGTAAAAATTAGATATTTCAATTCACATCGATCGATAACGATTTACGAAAGAATAGGTAACAGGTGGGCGACAACAAGGCACCACTGCGAACAATATCTCGCAATGTTGGCCAAGCCGATGCAAAAACGTACGGCACTCAAGGTTGAAATCGTTATTATTGTTACGCGGCACGCTACGATCATCGATCGAACATTTCCCACCAAGGTGAAATACGTTTACCTGGTCTGTGTCTTTCAAGTATTTGGGTCTGTCTTCTTGAAGTATCCATCGAAGGGCGTAACTTAAGAATGGGATTTTTCCATTCCATAATGGGATTTTTCCCTTGCACCGGTGAACTCGTTTTTATACCGCAGTGATGCTCCGTTTCTTTAGATTTTTTCGATCGTTGAGGCGATCGACACAGCGTTGACATGTTCATGAACTTTCTCGACCAATAACTCCCAAAGCAACCACCACTCTGCTGCTTGGCCATCATTTGCTCTATATAACATTGAGTCAACCTGGCGTTTCGATTGTATAAATCGTCAAACGTGTCCGTTTTCTTGCCGTCCTCAATGGCGCTCGGGTGATCGAACGACGTCGTCGGGTGATCTGCCAAGCGAGTCGATTCCGCATTCCCGGAATTACTAGCCTCCACTGCGGAATCGACGATCGCGTCCTCTCGGTCCGGACGGTCGCTTTGTTTCGTCCCTCGCGGCGGAAACTGATCGATCGAACTGTCGGACATCACCTTCGACGACGAACCGTCGTTGTCCGGGACGGTCGCTTCCATGGTCGAGTAATCGGATGTCAACTCGTCCTTCGTCTTGTCCCCCACTGAGATTTCGTGCAAGTTGCAGTCAACAATCCGCAGTTTCTCTGCATTCAGGTGTTTAGTGTGCGAAATTTGTGTTGTAATATTTATCACGCGCGTTCGTCTAAACGTTCGTCAGAAGAGCGGACGCGATTCTGATGAACGTAAAAAGTTCCCCTCCCCCCCCCCCTTCCCCTTCTTTCCCCAAATAAGAAACGTCCGCGAAGATGTTACAAGAGATTTTTCACAGGCATTCAAAGAAGTTTTACGGTTCTTGATACATTGTTAAATATTAACGTTTCGTAAACATTACAGTTCACTTCATTAGATCGAGAAGTAGCCAGATTACTTCTTACTTTAATAAAATAAACTGCAATGTTCAAGTTGACATTCAATCCTCTACCGGCAACATGGAATTTTCCTCGTTAAGGATCTCCGAAAAGAGCAAATTTTTTTATTGTTCCGGATTACACGGAAAATTGAAAAAATTTTGATATACTTGTCCAACTTTAACATATTTTTACCATCATAGAAGAATTATGTTTTACTTACTTTTTTACAGATTTAAATTTACGGACCAGAATTTATAATCCAAATATCGACGATAACATTAAAGACCCCAGTTGCCGACGGAGGGTTAAATGCCCACGTTTCGTGAATATTGCAGTTCACTTCATCAGGACGAGAAGCAATCAGTATTACAGGTTACTTTTCGCTCTGATAAAGTGAAGTGCAATGTTCGTCAAACAATGGCACTTAACAATGTCTCAAGACACATTAATCCGTAAACCACGTAATTTCCTCAAAGAAAACCTGTGGAAGCCTCAACGGAGATATTACTTCACAGACGTTTCTTCTCTTGGAGTTTCACGTCCGCTTGAGTCGCCTTTGCGTCTACCTTTGTGGATGTTCAGATGAAGGCGCGTGGATATCTCGATGTGGACTAGTTGAGCATACCTATTTTCTCGATCAATGACTCATCGCATGATGAGCACGCTTCCTCATGCGTCGTGTTCTCATCGCACATCTTGAGTACAGGTGTAAAAGAATTATTCAGGGAACGGTCCATTTGCCTCCACTGTAGAAATCTCTCGAATCTTGGCGTAAAGTATAACGTCTTATCTACTTCCTACCGATCACTGTCGAGATCACTTGTCGGTGTCAGGGATGCGTTCGGCGATGAATTGGTAGCAAAAAAATACGATTCCAGGAGAAAAGTGTATATATATATTATCATGTGCACCGTGAGGTGTATGAATGAATATCTTGCTCTTTGTCATGGACATGTTGAAAACAGGGCGATCGCGAAACTTCTTGTCAAGCATACGATATATAGAAATCTTCTCGTATCGATAAAAATCGATTTTCGCGAGTAAAATGAGGATCCTCGGGCTGAAAGCTGAGCGATTCTCGTTGCGACATTGAAATCGCAGAAATCCACCTAATTGGACAACATAATCGATACAATCGATATAAGCGCTCGCTTGTACCAGGAGGTGGCGACATATCTTGAAGCTCCCGAAACGCGCCACAATATAAAACGTGATTATCTATCTTGTCAGTTGTCTTGTTAAACGAAAATCGATCGAACAAATTTCATATATCATTTATTTGCTACAATAATGACAGTAATTCAAAAAAGAAAATTTTCAAGAAAATTAATATTTTAAATTATCAAAATTTTGTAATATTAATTTTGAAATGCATTTTTTATGTAATAATTGATTGTAGAGGGGAAAGAAATAAAAGTATGTTTTAAAGTGTATTTTTTTAAGTTCTATTCTTTTTTATAACGATTTTTCAATTATGTCACTGTCTTAGCAAACGAGCGATATATTCTTTCGCAAAAAGATCAGTGATTAGCAAAACTTGAGACCTGAAACAAAATTGATAAGTACGGACAATAAGAGATAGGAAGAGATTTCATGTATTTACTTCTGGCATACATACAGTTTCTGATAGATTAAAAAATCTCTTATTTTTCATTTCTATTGCCTATACTTTCCAACTGTGCTTAACATTGGATCCAGAAATTTGAGAGGCTATTAATGCACTGCAAGTGAAATTTTTTTAAGACCAAATATGAAAAGATTAAATTATTATTAAAATTATTAAATTGAAAAAGTATTATTTAAATGTATAATTCAATAAACGTTTTATTTAAAATTATGTTAGCACAAAAAAGAATAATGTAACGGAATCCATAAATAACGCCGATATAAATAAAGTTATAAACGCACAATAAAAATTCCAAATAGATACATATAAAAATATGGATTATATACGTGTAAGCAGAATAAATATTAAGTATTAAGAGTCATAATTGTACATTCATAAAAGTATAAAATAAAAAACAACGCAGTCCGCTATTGCCAGTCGCGATCATCTTCATGATTTTTTTCTCGAGTCTCTTCCACGAATTCCACAAGTTCACTAAAACCGCTATCTCTAGAATTGGTTCGTAATGGCATGATTCGTTGAAACACATTGTCCCTCATTCTTTGATTCCTGTTGGACGCCATTAGTAAGAAAGTCACCTCGGATACATAGATTTTCTCCTATACATATTTATTGTTTCGTTACCTGCTTTCTTTTTCAATTATAATATATCACGGCATCTATTT